GAGGAGGAGGAGGAGGAGGAGGAGGAGGAGGAGGAGGAGGAGGAAGGGGAGGGTGGAGGGAGAAGGAGGAGGAGGAGGAAGAATCCTTCCAAATACACTTTATGAGGTCATTATTACCCATCATAACAAAACCCATAAAGGGCACAAGAACAACAAAAATGAAACTGGAAGGTGAGTATCAATGAACATATATACATAATTCTCCAACAGAATACTCATGAAGAGAATTCAATAGCCTGTTTGAAATATTATTCACCATGGTCAAGTGGAGTGTATCTCAGATGTAAGGATGTTCAAGATATGGAAATGAGTAAACAAGATACACTACATCCATAGAACTGGGGACAAAAACCGTATCATCTTAATACATGCAGAAAAGGATTTTTTCATGATTAAAAATATACATAACAAACTAGAAGGAAAATAGCTCAGCAGAATAAATGTCATACTATGTAACCAACTAACATTATGATGAATGGAAAAATGTGGGAATCTTTCTAAGATCTGGAACAAGGCAAGGATGCTCATTTTCATCACATTTTATTCAACTTAGTGCTAGAAGTCCCAGGCAGAGCAATCAGGCAAGAGAGAGAATTAAGGGACATCTGTATTGCAAACAACAAAGTCAAATTGTTACTGTTTGAAGAACACTTGCTATTGCATTTAGAAAACTCCCAAATCTCCACCATCATATGAGTGCCAGAAAATGTTATAGGATTATTGACTGTGCAGTATATTAATTAGCGTGTGAGTTCGATAACGTCTGTAAGCACTGTGTACATGATGTAATGTAAACTGCAAAACTTAGATAAACTGCAGAACTTAGACAGACTTAGATAGTGATGTGAGAGTCTATGCTTGGGCATAAACCCCAGAGCTCACCCAGTTATCATTTGCAAGCACACACACAAAAAAAAATCGAACTAAGACTTAAAAAACCCAGTCTTTTGGGGCCAGAGGGACTAACGGGACTCGGACAGAAAGACCATCGCTGTTGTCCCCCTGCACCAGACTCCTCCATCCC